AGGGAAACATCATTGCAGGCTCTGTTATTGTCCGCACAGGCCCTAGACCCGGGCTACTTGGACTGGTGCCGGCCTACCTCTAACCTACCGCTACTGGGCCTCTAAAAATGCCAACTTTTTGTCTTCTTCTGCTCGGCCTACCTGCTACTTGAGTGTTTTTCCCCAGCTGCTCTAAGTGCCGTGGGCCTACTCCCCGCTACCGGCATGTTTACCCCCCTGCAACCCTTCAAAGTCACGGCCACAGGTACGTACCGGCCCGGTGGGCCTTGCAACCAACAAGTACCCTGGCGGGTCACGCACATACCCAACCAGCAAGCACTCAGACAGGCATGCAACCCAGCAGGCACGCACACACACACAACCGGCAAGCACTCAGACAGGCATGCAAACCAGCAGGCAYGCRCACACACAGACTTGGGACCACAGCAGAATGCGGGAATCACAACAAGGCATTCATTCCATTGACAAATCCCAGAAATCAGCAGTGTTCTCAGTCTGTGTTTTGGGCGGGTCATTACAAACTTTTTTTTTTTTTTTTCCCCTTTTTTCTTCTCTAAATTTCCCAATATTTTCTGATTTTTTCTGATTCCTTCTGATTTTTTAGGATTGCTGGTAGTAGACTTATCCAGAAAGGGCAAGCGTTCAAGTCAGATCAACTGAGTCCTATTGAGGAATGAAGGAAACACGTTGGTCTACATGAGCAACATCCCGACCCTAGACAGTACATGAACTGACAAGGCCCTGTGAGAGAACAAAGGTTTTGAACCATAGCGCCCACAGTGGAACTTGAATAAGTACCATCGCCATGCCAGAATAAGTACCATCGCCATGCCAGTTAACGAAATGGTTCGCTGTCCCGCACGAATGTTTTCCTATACCCTTTTCACATGAAGAAGTGTTGTGTGGATTTTTTTGTGTGCATTTTGTGCTTTCTTCTCTTCTTTGCAGTTTGTTTCACCTAAAGAGACAGGAGTGTAGGAGAAACGTCTAAGTGCACACGTGCACTGGACCACCTGGAAAGAATGGCACTCTGCCTAAAATTCGCAGAAAGAAATGAAATGAAAAGACAATATTATTCTCAAGAAGAAGATAATGAGTTTTAATGCCATGGGAGGAGAGGACTTCCGCATGTGCCTCGGAACTAAGGGAGGTCGCTCGCGAAGCAACCAGTTCCGAAGGCGCCAAGAGAGCAGCCCTATCACTCTCGGTGGTGCTCACTTTCCCCGAAGGGACTTTCCCTTGGCTTTCGTGGGACAGCTTGCTGTTTCATGTGCATCGCTGTTGCACCACAAACAATATCGGTACCTGGTGCGTATCTTGTAGACGCCCTCTGATATGCCAAATTGGAACTGAGGTTCTTGAGCTGCTGTTCCAGACCCAGGGGATGAAGAGGTGTCCGTCTTCTATTTGTCGCGTCCTCGACCCTTGGTCGGGCGGCCACCATCCTGGGCAGCTGCTGACGTATCTCCCTCGTCTGACGAAGCAGCCTCGTTAGAATTGGTCTTCGTTGTTGCTGCGACCATGACCACTTTCGGCCAATGCTGATCTCTGCTCTGGCCTGCGGAAGACGAACAACCAGTATTGCGGGCTTCGGTGTTCGTCACGATGATCTGCGAGGCCTTGTTAAATAATAACTCACTTGTGGTGAGTGTCTTCGCAACTTGTGTGAGGGCATTTTGCAATGCTGGACACGACCTCGTAATGAAGTAGTGCTTGATGCCCATGAAGTCGATCGGCAAGTCGGGCGTGGATGCCAAGTGTTGATACTCGGCGATCCAATCCGTGCTCGCCAGGGCTTTCTGGTGGAACTTTTGCAGTTGCTCCATCGCCTGAAGCTCGGGTGGCTCCACTTGGAACCGCGTGTGTCATGCTGTCGTGAGATCAGTCCAACTGATCTTTGCGTGCAGCTCGGAGATGTCGACCTTGTGTGTGGACAACATGTTGTCAAGCCATGCTTGCCACGCGCCTCCCGACCGGTGGTAGAGGCAGGCATGCCGTTTGGTGCTGCTCACATTGGACATGCGCAAACGCAATGCGAATTGCCGCCACCACGGTATTGAATCAGTCTTCGATGTGTCGCAGAAGACCGGAATGCCATCAAACTTGGGTAGACGTTTGGAAGATGACGAGGCTAGACTTGCGGCCTCTGCACGAATCTCCTGTTCCAACTGTTGGTTGGTTGCGTGCTGCTGCTGAGCACCGTCCTTGAGAGTGCCGACGTCAATCTCCAAAGTGTTGACGCGATCTGGAATGTTGGAGGGGCCAACGGCTGTTCCTGCAACAGGCCGCTGTTCCAAGGTATGGACACGGGTGGTCAATTTCTGCACGTTGTTGTCCAGTGTGAGGATATCCTCTTGCTGGGCCATGCTGGTGGCCACCAGGTCCACGATTCGCTTGATGACCTTGGAGAACTTCTGCACGGTCTCAAAGGCACCTTCCTCCTTCAAGTTGGCCAATGTGTCCCATTCGGTGGCCAAGGTCAATACTTCGGCCTCCTCCTCGAATAGTGCATCTCGGCGTGTTTGCCGTGCTTCGTCTGCAGCCTGACGTGCTGCGTCCTCATTCGCTTGCTGCTGTAAGGTGGCTTCTCTTTCTTGCTTCTCTCGAGCGGAAAGTGCCGCATCTGCTCGTTGCTTAAGCTCGAGCATCATGTCAGCCAGCCGGGTCTCGTAGTCTGCCTCGGACTCATTGTCCCTTCGTTTCATCGTGTTGATCACTGACCGAAGGATGGGAGGCATGTGTCGCTGGTGCTGATGTGGCACAGGCCTGCTGATGTGGCTGCTGACATGGCACGGACGTCTGCTGATGCGTCGTTGATGTTGTCCGCTGACATGTCACTGCTGATGTGGTCTGCTGACATGTCATGGACGTCTGCTGATGTGTCACTGACGTGGCCTGCTAACGTGGCACGGACGTCTCTGCTGACTAACGCTGATGTGGCCTGCTGACGTGCCGCTGCTGATGTGGCCTGCTGGCGTGGCACCATGCTGACGTGGCAACTCACCAATGTCGCAGCAGAGAAGAAACAGATAGAGAGAAAAGAGGGAAGAAGAGAATGGAGCAGCGTAGATGGGATGGGTGGGAGGGGAGAGAGAGGGGTGAGTAGTCCTTTCCCACCCCCATGGGGTCACATTGCTTGTCCAGATCAAGAGCCACTAATCAATTTTTTTTTGTTGAGAAGTTCAAACTTTGCTTTTTCTTTAATTCGAATATCGGTGAAACTCCGACGAAACAGTTTGTCACAGCCCCTCGTTTGTTGTCCTCTTCTCTCTCTCTGCCTACGGTTTACCGGGCAGTCCTGTTTGTGACCATATACCGTTGTTGAGTTTAGAAAACTTAACGGTGTGACGCCATTTCGACATTAATAAACTCGAAACAAGAAATTAAAAAACTGAAAAAAAACGCTACAAACAGCTTTTCTCCCTATTTTTGATAACGTAACTCGAAGAAATGAAACATGTTTGGAACAGTCGGAGTGAATGTCTCCGTGAAAAAGGGATACTCCCTGTGCTGAGGGGACAAGAGGTCACCATTTGTAAAATGGACGGGGACAATGTGGATGGCCAAATGCATTCATTGCCCAAAGAAAGAAACAAGTTTGATGCCAGAGAGCCAAACACAGCTGTCAGAGTTCCTCCGTTTCAGGATGTAATGATGTCTTAAAAAACAAAAAAAAGGAAAGGCACTGCAGTTGAGAAATGTACCCTACCCTCAATAGGGTAGTTTTCTCAATGCAAAATGGTTTCCAGCCCAAACCAGAAGGGCCAAAGCGTACTACAAAACGGATTTCACATCAAAGAAAAAGTCTACAAAATGACTAAATCTAATAGGTTATTCTCCTGTATTTTGGTACCATTAGATTCGCAATACATCAACAGCAGAGCTCCATCCCACCATGCCACACGTGATAGAAAGCTCAGCGTTGAGAAAACTCAACGCTGTAGGTGGGACCAGACCCCAGATGAGAGTAAATGCAGCAATTTCCGATTTTGAGGCGTGGAATCCCCAAAACACAACTGCGAAGAGAGATTTACTGAAAGAAGAAAATTTCGGAATATCAAAGCAGCGAAAAATTCAATTTTTTTTTTTTTCAAAAACAAAATCGAAATTTCAGCTACTAATTAACGCGTGATTCGGAATTTACAAAAAAAAAAGAATCAGTGCAAAGAGAGAATTCCGAAGATCAAAAGAAAAAAAAATCGGAATTTACAGTCGGGCAGAAATCGCGCATCAGAAATTAATTAGGTTTAATTCATCAGTCAATCAATCAGTCAATCAATCAATCAATCAATAAAGAAATCAATTAATCAATTAATCCATCCATCCATCAATCAATCAATCAATCAATCATACAATCAATCAATCAATCAATCAATCAATCAATCAATCAATCAATCAATCAATCAATCAATCGATTCCCTACTCGGACGTCAGGTCAGGTTAGGCTGTCCTAATTCATGACACACAGCTCCGATACCAACGGATACATGCTCGATGTATATGGAGCCAAGGATCCTCAAAGTGATGAAAAGCACTCAAATGGACAATGCAGTGTCAGCAAAGCATCGACAAGCAATGTACATCTAGATACATACGAAAATAGCACAATTTAGCGCAACCGAAGACTCAAAGATATGAGCTGAGTCAGCTGACCTGTCAGATACTGACGCGACACCCCATCGTGCACCACACATGTGAGAGAGAGGGGAGGGACCGCATACATGGAAGAAACGTCCCTCCTTGAGCACACACATGAGGAGATAACACGTATGAGGAGATGGGGGGGAGACGCAAGACGAAGATCGAGGTGAGGGAGAAGACCCAGATCGCAATAGCGAAGTCCAAACATAGTCTCCCTGCCGAATGTCCAATCAATGTCTGCCACAAAATGAAGAATCAGATCCTGGGCCTCATGGCCCAATATAACCTCTGCCTGTAACCTCTCTCTCTCTCTTTCTCTCTGAAAAAAGAAGAAGAAGAAGAAGAAGAAGAAGAAGAAGAAGAAGAAGAAGAAGAAGAAGAAGAATGTCGCCCTCCAGTCTCACCTGCCGTCGGTGGTGGCTGGCGTTCCCCTGTCGTGCAGGTCCCTGGCGTGAAGACCCAGCTATGGCGGCCAGGTAAGTCCTCCGTTGACTGCAGGTATGGCCTCCGCCTCTCTCCCTCCTCTCTCCCTCCTCTCTACCTCCTATCTCGCCTCTACCTCTACCTAGCAGAGCGCTGTGTCGTGATGCTCCAGCAGCGTGTCTCCCAAGAAGTGAGCTACCCGAACTGTGTGTCTGCCCTGGCCTGGCCCAGCTATAAGTAGCGCTGGGCCTCGCGGGTGTGCCTCCGTGTGCCTCTGGTCCCAGGCCTAAAACGGCCTGCCTGGGTCCCTACCGGATGTCCAGGCTCTCCCTGCTGATGCAGCAGGAAGTGTCCGCTATCGGGCAAAAGTGGACCTGGCCCAGCAGGGCCTGCCTACGTCCGTACCAGGCCAAAAACGTGGCCTTGTCTGAACAGACCCAAGGTCTATTCGGACGAACTGAGCTGCAAGTCCGAAACGATGCCTGAACAGACAAAAATAGGACAGCAAATAAATAAATAAATAAATAAATGCTGCCTCAAATCGAAGATTGCGGCCCTAAGGCCGGCCGTGGGCCTCCAGGGTGCGCGTCCGTTGGGCGTGTGACCTGGGGGCCCCCAGCAACCGTCGGGCCCCCAAAACGGGGCCCGCGTGCAGGCTCAGCATGTAACACTTACCATGCTTTTCAGAATCCGAATTCTGCACGAGAAAGGCCACTGGTTGGCCTTCAAACCAGACACTCCCATCAATCTGCTGGTCGGGCAGGGTGGGTCCGAGCCTGTGACCGCTCCCTTCACACATTGTCAGTCAAATCCACATATTGCATGCTCCAGCCTAAGCTTAACCTCTGGGACCATGTTGAATCCCGCTGGATGCGACACCTTAACATCAGCAAAGAGTGCCTTTGCCCGATCAAATGGTTTCAGTGCATCAAAACTTGAACAAGACCAGCAAAAGTTGCATCTCTGCAGTTGCAGGTGGATCGTCGCTGCCTACAAGGGCTGGCTCGCTGACAGGACTTTCCTGGATCAAAAAGGGTTAGCTATGCGCTCGTGCAAATTCTGTTGCTCCGCCTTCCCAACCTGCAAAGCCCTTGAGACAATGGAACACATATTTCTCCAATGCCCAGGGGCAATCTGGCTTTGACGATGGTGGGACCGGACAACTGGAGATATCCCACCAATGGTCATGGGATTGGCGGGCGCTTCTTTGAAAAACCTGGCTCCCGGACCAGGCTACAGAGTTTACGATAAACCTGTTCAAGATTGGCTGGAGGGCGGTCCTTTGGGCCCTATGGTGGGCACATTGTACCCACGAAATGGAAGGGGTGAGATTTGATGGCCCGGAGTTCACTAACACTATTAAGCAACACATTAAGACATACATGACAACAAAATGGGATAATGTGAAAGCACAATTGGAGCATCTCCACTCACAAAATGAAATTACACAGAACATTCAACAGTTAGTAGCGGCTGGCTTGGGGGACCCAAGGGGGAAAGGTCCAGGATTATTGTCTTCGGTTCCATGGTCGGACTACACTAGACCCCCCTCCTCTCCCCTCAGCCCCCTCGCCGAATTCCCCTGACTCACAAAATGAAATTACACAGGACATTAAACAGTTCGGTTGCGGCTGGCTTGGGGGACCCAAGGGGGAATGGTCCGGGATTATTGCCTTCGGTTCCATGGTCGGACTACACTAGATCCCCCTCCTTTCCCCTCAGCCCCCTCCCCGAATTCCCCTTACCCTAACCCACCCACCCCCC